AATATTGGATTATTTTATTGTTTATTAATGGTAGAATAGTCTTTTCAATTTCTTTTGCTTAGCCTATATATAGTCTCTTTGTATATAGGTTAAATTATCTTTTTAGTATTCAATTGTATTATGCAGAATCAATGAAACCCAAACCTCTTTTTTTTTTTCTTTATTTATTTGGATTGTTTAACAAAAGAGACACCAACTTAGGAAGGGTAAAGTTCCCTTGCTAATCAAAAGCCATTTGTTTTCTAGTTTTTTGAACGTCATTTGCATTTCCAAAACAAGAGGATAGCAAATCACATTGCAATTTTCTGTTTTAATTGTCTCTCTTACATATTTTATTACCTATTGATTGCAGTTCAAGGAATACAAATCCTCAGTTTCATCTGAGTTGTGGCGAAACCATTTATAACTAATTGAATTTTGAAAGTATCATATTCTTTCCAGGTCTACACAGTGAAAAGTTTTCTTCCAGATTAGAGTATTCCAACTGGTCATTTACTAATGCCATCTCAAGTTTTCCAAATTATCAACGCCAGGTTCTCTTGTAATCTCTTCATTAAGCAGTAAATAACGAGTCTCAATGAAGTTTAAAGATTTTCAATCAAAAAACACCCTATCTGGTTTTCAGTGCCTGTCCAACCTCAGTGACCTCAAATTGTACATCAATTTGTAAGATCTGTGAAAACTTACACTTATCTGCATGCATTATTTCAAAACCTCTCATTTATTAGTAGAGATTACTCAACGTAGCACTCAAGCTATTACTCAGTCTCCTAACATAATCTTCAATAACTTAAGCTGGCAATTCCTGTGATGTGATGGGTGCTTTGTTTGTAGAGAATATACGAATGACTCCAATTTTCAACTTAAACAGCTTCATAATGCATCTGACTGCCTACCCGTTTCTGACTGATTTTCAGTCATATATACTATTATTCTGCAATATTTTTTTTGTCAAAAGGATAATTTCAACCATTCATAATGTGAAAATTAATTTGAAATTCAACATTTCAAAACCCATAAAAATTCATGTACGGCATTTTCTCACAGAGAGACGGGAAGTTTAGAAGAAATTATTAATTCGTGTCAAGTTTTTGCCTTCAATTGGAACATTTGACATTCAACTGTTTACACAAGTCCTAGGCTGAAGTGTTGATTTTGATATACTATTTTTCAAGGCATCCTACCCTGAACATGTGAAGTTTAGTTTCTGTCCAATCCACGAACATTGTTTACCTGATCAAAAGTTTGGACTCGATATAATATAGATCGATTTCAAATTTCGTGGAGCTAAAATGTTATGATTCGAACTCGAGTCTCGTGTTTATGGAGTTCAGTCTGGTAGAAAATGATTAGCATGCCTCTTTCCCACAGTGGCATCCGGCGTTGGGATCCGGAAACCATCCAGAAAAGAAAGCCACCATTAGACAATGATGAGTAAGACTGCAACTTGAGGAGGGACTAGAGGTAAAAGAGGGAAAGTTCGCTTTAGATGAAGACCAACGTAGTGACGAACGCACGTAGGTATTCCTTTTTTCTACTAGGAGAGAACCTCCATTACGGTAAGTGATTATACACTTTTTGGCTTTTGCTAAGGAATCATTACAGTGTTCTGCCAGGAAATCTGTATCTGAAATGCGTTACCATGAAAAAAAAAGATATAAAATGTTTAGATTACCCTCCAAATAGTGATTTGAAGAGGAATAGTACAAAAAAATTTTGATTCAGTAACCTCATTAAATTCTTTAAAAGCATCATCTGCATTTCTGATTCATTGACCTCCTAAAATTCATTTTGATGTGTAAAGTTTTCAAAATGTTGAGATTTTTCTGATTTTAAGCAAAAATGTTACATCTAAAATTACCCTTTTTTTATTGCAACTCTCATGGACAACTTCAACAACTTTCTATTTTCGCAAAATTACTTTAAAAAAATACGAATATCGTGAAAATTCCTTATTTCTACAGCCTTCTTTGTTCCGCTATCGTTCCCCCAAAATTAAAAAGAAAAACAATAAAATCAATACATTCGCATTGAACGCTAGAGAAACGAAATTTGTACAAAGAAAAACCAAAAATCAATCAAATAAAACCAGTAAAAGTTTTATTAAAATCGAAACCAATGAAAATCCAAAAAATCTAAAACACAATAAAAACAATGAAACACAAACCGATTTTGCGAACTCAATTTTCAACGGGATTCCACGGAGGACGTATCCTTGTAGGCGCTGTTTTGCACCTTTGGCGGCCTCAATGTCCTTGAAGTACATAAAGGCGTAGTTCCGGCCGGGGTACAGAGTCACGCTATCCACTTTTCCATGCTTCTCAAACAGCGCCTTCAATTCTGACTCCGACACTTCCGACGAAACGTTTCCGATCCATAAATTATTCGACGGAGGGTTTCCCTGCCCCGGATCTGCGGTTGAGGCAGATGAATCATTCAAATTGCTGGGGTTCCGGCTAGTTTTCACGAATTTGTTCATCGAAGCCATCAATCAATCTAAAGCTTTAACGAGATATGAAGATTCTAAACAAGGAAAGGGCTTGAATTGATTTAACATAAAGCCGCGGAGAAACAGAGTAGATGAATTGAAACGCACCGTGCGAGAGAATATTATATATACGTATAGAACAGAAGATTGGCTTCGGGAGGATAAGATTGGATTCTGATTATAGATAATTCGCACCGCAGTCCCTAATATTAAGATTAATAGTAATTTGGTCCTCAACTCTTTCATATTTTATTCTTGAGCTATTCATTTTGAGAGAGTTTCAGCCATCACCCCAAGTTTACTTTATTTGAATTTTTGTCTTTATTATGTCGTAGAAGCGGTGTACACTACGTTATTTTTTCGACCAATGATCCTTGTTGACCAAAAAATTTGAGAATAAAAGAATTAATGAATTGTTGTAAAAAGAGAGAATACGAGAAGAGAATAAAAGAAGTCAATAGACTTTCGTATATTATAATGAGAACCAAATCCTTATATTTATAGAGAAGGAATATGAATACATATGATAATAATTTCTAGGGTTGCAGGGGTACAAGTGCCATTTACATTAAACTCTAATTTATTTTCTTTTTATAACACTCCCCCTTGAATGACACTTTACAAAATATTTGTCTCGCTAAAACCTTATTTGATAAAAACTTAATGGGACAAAAAAAAATCAAAACGAAGGAAANATGATTTACAACACTCCCCTTAAATGACACATTACAAAATATATGTCTCGTTAAAACTTTGTTTGATAAAATTTCAATGGGACAAAAAATCAAACGAAGGAAAAAGAGTACAGTTATTTTGGAGTATTAAAAATAAATGCTACCTCATTAAAATCTTTATATGAAAACACAGTGTGATAAAATCTAAGTGAAGGAAAAAGAGTACTGCTACTCCCCCTGATGTTGATCACTGAAAATCTTTGAGTCGATGCATTCCAATTATGTTAACCAATTTCTTGATTGTAGATGTTGACATTGCTTTTGTAAATAAATCAACCAAATTGTCAATTGAACGAATTTGTTGAACCTCGATGTCGCCATTCTTCTGAGGCTTGTGTGTATGAAAGAATTTTGGAGAAATATGCTTCGTCATGTCACCTTTGATATAACATCTTTTGAGTTGTGCAATACAAGCAGCATTATCTTCATACAAAATTGTTATAATATCTTTTGGTAAAATTAATCTGCATGATGCTTGG